AGAAAAAAAAGATAGACAAGCAAAAACATAAAGTAGCAGATCTAAAACAACTAATTTTGATGAGGAAAAAAATAACAGCCGTATAAGCTGAGCAGTTTACATTTTAACCATACAGCGAATGTCACCCTAATCTGCTCCTTAAAATGTTTTTGTAAGTTTTTACAGCTTAAATAATAGTGGGTAATGCTTTGTTTTTGTTACATGTTCAGTCAACAGATGTTTGATTTAGACACCATTGAATAATTCTGTAATCGATTGCTTCTCCTTTAGATTTGCATCAGTAAAAAAAAAAAAGAAAAACCTATTACCTCCCCTTGTGTAACTCTTATTTCCATGTTATACTAGTAGGTCTCCCATAGAATGAGTCAACAGAGTAATGCCTTTATCTAAAAATTTTATTTTGTGCTTGTTTGTATTGAGAAAAGTTAGGGGGAAAAAAAGTAGATGTTTATAAAAAGTGGTAGAAAAATAGGTTCTCCGGAAAAGATATTAAAAAAAGGAACATTTTTTCATAGTCAAATGATGAAAACAGAGATAGTGATTATCTAAAATGCTAAATACAGTCCGTCATTTCGTAATTAGAAAGATCTTGCAAAATGCTTGATTCGTCATGTCATACAGCTACAGTTATGAGCATATAATGTGGTTTTGCCTACATGAGCATTTGTAAACAAGTTCTAGGAGAAACGGTCTGTAATGTGAGTTTTTGCTTGTTTATAATTCACTATCTTTCAAGGCACAAACTTTCCTCCAAGTGTGATACTAATACCAGAACGTTTATTTGATTGTTCTTGTGTTTGGTTACAGGAGTATGGTGGAGACATAGGACAAGGATATTTGAGGATAAGGAGACAATATTATTAACTTTTATACTGTGAATAACCTAAAATTTCTACTTAAATGGGATTTTAGTAAAGACTGAAATATAAATATATTTTTTCCAAAATAAAGCAAAGGTTTTAGACAGATTACCTTACTGCAAACTGAGGGTTGTAAACTGCAGATTTGTTTTTAAAAAAATGCAATGAAGTAGCAACTAGCACTTTCTGCTGCCTGTATTTCTTGTAATGACACATAAAGACAGGAACTCACTCTACAACAAAACTGACGGAGAAGCTGGTAGGGTATAGAAAACAGATAACTGGGTTGAAAATATTCAATAGTTTAAGTTCTGCTCCTCAGACGGTCTGCTAAAAAGATGACTGCTACAAGTCCCAGAAGGCTGAGGCCAACAACTAATTGCACAAGGAGTATTTGCAAAAACTTAAAGGGCTTACTTACAAACGTATCATGAAGCTCAAACCCCTGCTTCAGAACAATGACGCTAGATAGAGCAAAAGTTCTAATTGCTAGATGGCTCCATCAAATTTGCACTTAAAATGTCCTCCTGTTTTACAGAATTGGCCATCTGACAAGGGTGCTTCTTAAAAAAAATAAAAATAAAAAAAAGATAAACAGGAATAGAAACTTTCTGATTTTCTTTTTAGGCTCTTTTCACATAATTACTAAGAAGACAGTAGCTACATTTGGAGGTTGAGATGTGTTAAAAACTGCTTGGTCTTGGCAGACTAAAAATTATAGGCTGAATACTGTATGCAATTACTTTTTCTTAATCTATGCTATTTGAAAACCTTTCAGTAATAAAAGTGAAATTACCATATAGCTGATATATCTGTTAAATCTACGTGAACAAGGTTCAGGTGCTATTACCTACAGCGTTTCTCTGATTTCTGTTCAGGAAAGGGTTAAACAATTTATCAGTTTGCCACTATATCAAATCTATTATTAGAATTACAAAAAAAAATCAAAAATCTAGGGATAGATAAAAAAGATTAATGATTCAGTAGAGAAATAAATGTTTGAAAAAATTAAGAGATTAATACAAAAAATTATTAAAAAAGAGGACAGTTTGTTTTAACAAGCTATAGTTTTCCCAATCGGTTGGTTTCAAATTAAGAATATAATCAAACATATGGATAGATAAGCCTTTAGAAATGAATATCACTATCCAGTTATTGATACAATTTTAGTAGAGCTGAAAAACCGCTCTGTCAAAGTTGCTCTCTGTGAACAGCAGAGAAAAGCAGAAAATCTTTCCTCAGGCAGCAGAACGCTACAAAACATTTGCAATCCATAGACTGTCATCTATCAGGTTTGTACGATAGATATTTCCATCAATGATCGAATAGTGAGAAGAAGAAAAATGATTCTGTCTATTTAAAAAAAACCCAGGCAGTGATATGAGTGAACAAAAAACTAACTTTAAACATATTGTGTTTCAGACGCTTTGTGGCTCAGATCGTGACGCTGTGGCTCCACCTTATCAGCTGATCGAATCAGGAGTTACCAAAGACAGATACCGCGACTTTTGAATTTATATAGGGGTTGGGGGATGGCTACTGTGTGAGTGTGAATTTTTCACCCCCTCCCAAGGTCCAAACACCTGACGGATTAATTAACCGTTCACATCAGGTGACCCTTAAACCGTGTGGCGTGGTGTGAGCTCCTCATAGTGAGACCTATCACATCATGTGACCCTTAGGAAGGACAGTGATTCACAAAGAGTCTCTCCTCTTTTTTCTAAGTGGTGTATTAATCACCCCCTCCCAAGGTCCAAGTGATCCAGATCTTTTCCACTGCAACCTGTGTCTGAGCGAGCACAGAAGCGGCTAGAAACACAACAACCATGGTGGATGATAAGGTGGGAGAGCATTTTATTTATTTATTTATTTTTTTTTCTAACCATCTTAAAAAAGATTGTGTATTTAAGTTTGGGAAAGACAGCTAGATGCAATCTAAACCTTTGGATTCACACAGCAGCCTAAAGTGATCCAGATCTTTTCCACTGCAACCTGCGTCTGAGCGAATCGGCTAGAAACACAACAACCATGGTGGGGAAGCATTTTATTTTATTTTTTTTCTAACCATCTTAAAAAAGATTGTGTATTTAAGTTTGGGAAAGACAGCTAGATGCGATCTAAACCTTCCCTCCATTTTCACGGAAGTAAACAAGGAGCAAGACGGCTTGTGACGTTATTAAAGTCTCTACTGCGCATGTGGGATGCTTAAACCGTATGAATGGACAAAATTAGACATTTGTTTTTTTTTATTTTTATTTATTTATTTATTTTTTTTTTTCTTTTAATAGACTGATACATATAAATGTACATCATTATTTATTGTGTATATCGATACATCGATATATCTCTATATATATATAGATATATATATATATCTCTTGCAGAATCCTATGAGGCAACGGATCTCATAGTAAGGCAGACTGAGGGGGCTACAGCGGCTGCAGCGGGGTGGGGGGGGTGGGGGGTGCTGTGTGAGTGACTGCACTCATCACACAGCTGCTCAAGCTGCAGGCAGGCAGAGATTGAAACGGTGTGCTAACAGTGATTATATAAGAAATCAATACAAATAATTAAAAATAATCATTTAATCATCATAACCGGTATTAAAATAACATAGTTAATTTTTTATATGCATTTTTATACATTTTTTTATAATTTTTTTAATTATTCATTTTTTTATTATTTTTTTAATTCAATTTTATATTAATTTTATATCAATTTTATATTAATTAAGGCGGGACTTCCGGTTTAATTAAGGCGGGACTTCCGGCTGTCACTTTGGAATGTGGGCGTGGTTTCGAGTTTGATGAAAGGTGGTTCATATAGTTTTTTCTGAGGTCATGGTTCTTGACTAGAAAAAGGTGGCTTGTCCCCTTCAGGTTATAAAAAAAAAAACCTCCCTGCCTGAGTTAAAGTATCTTAGGGTGCTGTTCATGCGTGATGAGAAAATGCAGAAGATAGATAGATGGATGTTGTGGATGCTGCTATAATGCGGACACTGCACGGGTCGATTGTGGTGTCAAGATAGATGAGCAAAAAAACAAAGCTCAAGATTTACTGGTCAGTCTATGGTTGTACTATCACCTATGGGCATAAATTCTGGTTCATTACCTAAAGAACAGGAAAAAACTGTCATGTTGGATCTTTAAAACTAATTCAAAATCTCTATTTTTTCAATACAAATTGACATGTCAGATTGTGGTAGGAAAAACCTAAAGTCATTTGAAATATAAACTCATGAGCCTGTAAAAGAACTAAAACAAGAGTGAAGCCAGCCTCTACAACAAAAGAGTGTATACTATTTTTTACGTATGATTTTATAGAAAGTTAATTATGCAAGAGGCATTATGATTTCTTAGGTATATTTTATAAAGCAATCACAATATAAAGCTATTGGTTAATATCCCTGATGTTATAAGGACATTATTTCTTATATAACCATATGTTTTATTGAATAACAATTATTTTGTGATAATATAGGGATTGGAGACTTATTTATTGATTGGAGACTAAATCTTAAAAATCAGGTGAACCATTGCTACAGTAATGATGCAATCTGTACAAAACAGTGGAATATTATATATTTATTTGTTTTTATTGGTAAAAATGCCTATGAAGAATTCTTTGGGAAAACAAAGAAAACCCTAACCCTAATAATCATTTCAATTTTAAGCAAAAGACGTTCCATTTTTCTTCTGAAAGAGTAAACATGTTAGTCCAGGAATGTAAATCTTAGAGGAAGAAATGGTTCAAAAAGTTAAGCTGATGTTCACTATAACAAGTTTTACTTAAATGACTTGTCACCTGTTAAAGAAAAACTCCCAAAGGATTAGATTTTTTTTATCCACATAGCAATTTAAATAAAAAACGACAAGTGCAGACAAAAGAATAGGTTGCATGAAACCAGAAAGATTAGGATGGTTACTAATCTTCTGTGGATTTATTTTGAAATATATTCAATGTGACTTTTTAAAACCATTTATTCATTTTTTTCAGTAAAAAAAAAAAAAAAAAAAAAAACATTAACAAAAAAATATAGTTGACACTGAATTTTGCATTTTCAAAGTATGGTTCTGAGTTTGTCCGCTGAAATGTATTTAGAGGACCAAACTTTCTGTAGCTACTGTCAGATTAGTAAAAAACTAAATCTAAACTGTCTTAAGTGAGTTTAGATAAGGACGAAATAGTTTTAAAGTCTGCCATGTTTATGCTTTGTTTAAACATGTTGAAGCCTTTTCTTATATCGTGATGCAGAATAAAGCCAAACATGATAAATCTCTACTTCTCAAGAGTCATTCGTTTGTATCGTCTTCATCAATTAGCTTTTTAATTCCATAATGTGATTCTCTATTTCCATCTTTCTCTCGTTAAGCTTGGTAACCTCCTCCTGTGTTTTATTCATCAGTTTATCAGTCATCAGTTCGACATTTTGATGACCTTTCATTCTCTCAAGCAGGCCCTGATTGTTCGTTGTTATGATTCCTTTCAGTATTAAGTAACCTTGTGCTTTCTTTTCAATAGTCTTCTCCTTTCTTATGTCTTCATCAACTTCCCTAAGCTTTCCCTCATTTCCCTCAACCATCTTCTCTGCCTCTTGTTTTTGATCAGCAAGTTGTTTTTTCTGCTCTTCCAGGTATTTAGACATCTCTATTAATGCTTCAATCTGCTCATCGATCCTTCTCTGTTCCTCATAGCTCTTTTGTATCTCCTTCTCAGTGTTAGAGTTTTTTACTTTAGTCAAAAGCTTTTCATTCTCTTTATTGCATTCGTCTGATATCTTCTTTTTTGCTGTGGAAACAAGGAGTACAATAAGATTAGGATAATATGTAAGTTCTGTCTACTAAGTACTTACTAACTTACTTACTTTACTTTTACTATGTAAATTAGTATAAGTTTCTTCTTCACAAATGTAAAACTTTCATTAGCATATTTGTAGAGTACAGTTAAATGATAGATTGATGAGATACATTTTTCTTACTATTTTTGCTTTTTCGCTTCATCCAGATAAGAAAGACAGCTCCAAAAGCAAATGCAATGGCCAAAATAATGTTAAAGCTGATACAAACAGAGCAATCAGGCTGGGCCATGAAGAAACCATCTAAAACAGCCAAAAACAAAACAGTTAAAAATAGTATCGTATTTTATCCTCACTGTGTTTAAATTTTCTACCTGGAACATAAATGTAAGTCTCTCTGGTCTGGTTGATATCCTTCTGTGTCAGTCTGCAGGTGATATTGTTGTTGTGTCTCTTCTCCACAGTCACTCTGCTGCTGACACTGTAGAGACCATCAGGACCTTTGATTTTCTCTGCAGATCCAGCAGACATGATGTTTTCTTCACCATCCAGCCAGAGAATCTCCGGTTTTGGATACCAGCTTGCAGAGCTGCAGTCTAACATCACTCCACTGCTGCTTTTATCAAGTCCTGATAAACTTATATGAGGTGAAGAGATTGTACCTAATAATTGGAAAACAAACATATATTTTATCTAAACTTTTTATGAAATGTTTATAAATATATTAGTTAGGAACAATACCATGATCAGCAATTAGAAAAAAACAACAGATATGTACTTGCTACATAGCCAATGTTGTGCCAGTTCATAATTAAAAAGAACCAGATTAAAGTTCAGTTTACACATATAAAAATGAACTAGCTCACATTATAGTTCCCCTTTTTTTGAATAAACTAAGTTGACAAAGCTATAAAAGAACTAGGTCAAGTTCTTTTGGTAAATTAAATCACAATCCTACACAATAAAACCTCATATTATATATATATATATATATATATATATATATATATATATATATATATATATATATATATATATATATATATATATATATATATATATATATATATATAGAGAGAGAGAGAGAGAGAGAGAGAGAGAGAGAGAGAGAGAGAGAGAGAGAGAGAGAGAGTGCATATTCTTTCCGGGCCCAGCTGAGGCTTTACGCTGACCTGACTTCAAATAAGAATGGATTTCAAACTTTAATTTGTTTTGTTTAGAACAATTCATTCTGATTAGGTGAAAAATGTATTTTCTCTGTATGCACAGTGTTAAATTTACTTACCAACAAGAAGCTCAACAAAGCTTTCTGTTTTCTCTTTCGGATTGTAGCATCTGTATTTTCCATTGTCAGAGTGTCTCACATTAGACAGTTTCAGTGAAACGTTTCCATTCTTCAGTTTGTCATTGAACAGTGACGTTCTTCCTCTATAGACTTTGTTTTGGTCAGCTATATATTCCTTCTGGTTATGCAAAACAAACACAAATCTGGGCTTTAGGTCTGGTCTCCCCCACTCCACTGTAGTCTGAGTAGGGTCCTCAGGAGGTTTTACTTGGCACGGCAGAACAACGTCATCCCCAAGCATCGCTTTTACTGTCTGAGACAAATCTGTCTCCTGTGACTGACCTGAAAAATATATTTTTTATATATTTAATGACGTCTTTGCCTGCTAAAAAAGGTTAATTTCGATGAAATTATCATAAGTAAAGCTATTGAGAAAACACTGAGCACTCTTCCTTCTACATACATGAGAGCATCAAGTTACTTTGGTACATCTTACCTGACCTCACTTGGACAACTCAGATCTCTCATCAGGGCAGAATGAACAAACAGAGACTGTATTTCTTTTGGAAGCTAAGATATTTTATAGAGCATCTTGTATTATATTCTCTTGTCATGTTCTATTGTAATCTATTATATTTCTTGATCTCACATCTAATTATTTCTATTGTAAAATGTGTTCTGGCTCTCATTTGCCAACAGGCTAATACAAGACAAACAATGTTTTAACAACAGCTAAATATCAATGAGAGCTGAACTGGAATTAAAGAGAAATAGCTCTATAGACTGAGTAGCTCTATATTGGGTACTTTTTGTTGCAGGTACTTTTGCATTACTGTAAGTACTGTTTATTCAATATGTATTTCATGGATTCCTTATGTCACTACCTAAAACACTTTTGCAGAACAGTGGCAGTGAATTCTTCATTAAGTGAATAACTGCATAAGTGTTAAGAAGCAGACATGTCCAGAAGTTTTCTCAGAGTCTAACTACATTTGAAATTATTTTATCATTAAATGCATGAAATGTAGACTGCTTGTGTTGTGTTTCTGTCAAGCCTGTGTTCTGTCTGTCTTCAGGCCTAACTTAACAGACAAAAATTTTACAATTTACTTTTGAAATAGATGACTTTGACTTGGCATGCAAAATACCTGTAAAGAACTCACCTTCTCTGGGTTGTAGCAAAAGCAGAAAGATGTAAATGCATCCAAAGACTTGTCCATCCAGCTTGTGAATCATCTTGAAGAGAAAAAAACTGAAAAACACATATAACTTTCAAATCTGGAACAATATTAACTAACTAAGAATCAGAACCTGCATTTTTTTAAACTGATTAAATGTCCACTTATGGTAAACTGTCCAGGGCTTGCTATGAACAGACAGAGTTGCATTTGCCCAAATGTCTATTACAACTGTTTTTTTTTTAAACATATTAATCTACATCTTTCCTATTTAGCCACAGTCATAACAGTGGTTGAGGTTTAACCCTGGTGCAACCGTCGCATCTTACCTGCTTTAAGAGCCTATTAGTTTCCACAATGCATTGTTTTAGAAAAAGAAGATGAAACCACCATTTTAGCACATTTCTACTTTTAAGCTGACAGATATGAAGAACAATGCAAAGCAACAAAGATGATTCTAATGACCTTTGAAAGAATTGTTTGACACCACTTTATCAAGAAGGAACTGAGACCCATTTTTGTACACATTTATAATTATAATAATAATAAAAAAAAAATCTTTATCTTTACTTCGGAAATTTCAAGACAAGGTTACCTTGTGAAGTTTATAGTGAAACAGCAAATAAAACCCTGGGTCCAACATCACCCTTATTGTATAAAACAAAACAACAATATGAAAAAAAAAAAAAAAACGTTTCTTTCTTCTTAAGAAGGAAGACACACAACTTTAACTTAAAAAAAAACACTTAGAATGCAGTACATGAAATCTATAACACTACGTTTTAGCAGATTAGACAGTAGACATGTTTGACCATATTGAACAGTGTAACGTATCAAAACTAAAGTGTAATATAGATTTAATGTGTTGCTATGGCCCAAAGTCAGGAGTCCTGAGTTAAATTATGTGTTTAGCCCTGGAAGGAGCTCTGCCAATCAAAACACATTCAAGCTCAAAAGAAAAAGATAAAATAAAAAATACAGTGTAGATTTCGCTGACAAGAGAGACTGATAAGGTCATAAAAAATGTAACTTCCTGAACATGTATCAGCTAAAGAATATCCAATAACAGTTTTGACAGGAATATTTTCAGGCCATTAATGTTTAATTCAACATCACGTACTTTACAAATATATGTAGCTGTAATTTGTTAAACACAAAAACAACTTGCTGAAATACAGCAAACAGACAATATGCTGTCAGAATGATTTGAAATACCTTGCAGTGTCCTTTGTTCTCTGGGAGGTATGTAGTCAAAGTCCTCAGATGGAAGATTTTTTTATATATAGATAATCTTTTTTTGTTAACGTGCTAATTAAACACCTTTTTAAAATTATCCACACATCAAATGAATCAAATAAATGTCTTACTCACCCTTTATTATTTACTACTCTTCTGTGTAACAAAACCCTTTGGAAAATGGTTCAAGTTCATACTAGGATTGAGATCCTTGTTATTATTTTATTATGGTGTAAAGAGCAAAACCAATCAATCATTAAACAGACTCAATCTGAAAAAAAAAAGATTTACGATAGCTATACAGTTACGCAAAGTTTTACTGCTGTATGGATAAGATACTCTTAGAAATGTGTAGGGTTGTATTAAAATACAGTTGTCAATTTATGCGTTTAGAACAAAAGTAAATTGATTCCAACCATTTCTTGTTCCTCAAAATTTAACATGAAAGAAAACTTGTTGTAGTTAATATTTAACTGCTTAGAGGTTGGTTATCTAGAGGAAAGAGTCCTTAGGATCCAGCCAACTTTTTCATTCTTGTCCAGATCACTGTAGGGAACCAAATCAAGTCTTTTCAATACAGAAATCATTTCATATAATAAACAACAATTTAATACTTTTATAAATAAGTGAAAGTGCATTTTTTACTATCAGTTTATGGAACTTACAGATTGTTAAAATTCTGTGCTAAATGACAACTGCCCTTTTTCAATTTAAACCTGTCAGTTACATTATGACTGTCAAGTTTAATGGAAGTTAGTTGAGCACCAAATACAAACATGAAGAGAGGATTTATTGTTGATTTAATGTAGAGGTAGATGGTAACAGAAGCAGGAATCCAGAAATAATAAACAGGGAACCAAAATTAGAATACACAAGGGAAAACATGCATGAGGAGTGAAGAAGGGTAAATGGTGCTTTCACACATTGACAATATAGCCGGCATATATACATAGGTAAAAAAAAAAATGCAAAAACATTGGCATACTTTGGATAAGTAATTGGTAAGTTTTGTATAAATTATTAGCACGCTGAGGCATTCTGGCACACGTTGACATACAGCAAGTATGCTAGCATATGCTCATATGTGGGTTACAGGTTACAGTTACAGGTAAGTTATGTGATGATGACACACGTTAATTGTAAGTTACTTATAAGCAGTGGTATCTAGGTAATCGAACCTGTATCATCCGCATCATAGGGTGAGCGTGAGTAGCCCATGAGCAACAGACTTCCTAGCAGACATGATACTTAATCAGCAGTGACTGCAAACCTTTTCTGTCTCTATTTTGGTAGTTGGTAAACAGCAGCTAGGTTAATATCACAACTACAAAGTTAAGAGAAATGTTCTTATGCAGGCCAGGCACTAGGGTTGGGAATTGATAAGATTTTCACGATTCCGATTCCCTTATCGATTCTGTGAAACAATAAACTTGGTAAGTGCACGGTAACATTTGTCTACCTTCGCTTGGTACATTCTATTTCTGCCTGCCTCAGCGAAAACAGAAGGCAGTGAATGGGAGCTGCCAGCGTCTGAACCAGCCAGGCTACCCGTCTCGTCACAGTCGTCTAAATCTAGAAGGCCTCTGTTTAATGAAAAAGCATTACTGTACAATTTTGGGAAATAAACTCATCTCCCACTGATTTAAATAAAACAGTGTCACCTTTCTATCGCACCCTGAACTGCGGATTAACTTTGTAGCATGTTTAATAACCCCAAAGAGAGGTAGGAAATTGGTTTATTCCCAGAAATAGCATATGATTTACTAGGAACCACATTGAGCACAGCCAGTGATATAAAACTAGCTACTTACCACCAGAGTTGCCTTTCATACTGGTCGTAACTTTAGCTTCTGTCTGGAAGCATCAAAAACACAGCATTCGTTAAAATGTATGCCATGTTGTGTGTGCACAGCAGACCCGCTGGCCCCTGGAGTAACGGATTTGTTTTATCTGTCAGGAAGAGATTATTTATTTGTTATAGATTACTACTCAACCTACCATGAAGTGGTACGACTTTCAGACAGAAGCAAATATTCCAATGCATATTTGCCAGACTTGGAATCCCGTCAACTGTGGTGAGTGATAATGGTCCACAATTCAGCAGTCATGATTTGATCATATCACTTCATGTCCACGGTTTCCACAGTCAAATGGCTTAGTGGAAAAGCAAGTGCTGATTGTAAAGAGGATCTTCCAGCTGACACAGGAGGGGTCTCCTAAACTATAGAACATCACCTTTGAAATAAGGACTCTCTTCAGCAGAATTTCTTAAGAACAGACAGCTTAGAACCTGACTTCCATCTGCAAAGTATGTGTTAAATAAAATAGGTGGACAAATGAATGTGTACAAAAGAAAAAAAATGAGCATATGACTGATCTCCTAAACCTTTGTCCCAGCTGAAGGCAGAGTACGTGGTCCAAGTAAGGAAAGAAGGCACTATTAGTAAAAGTCATAAGGGGGACAATATCAACATCTTATATGTTACAGACTGAATATTGAAAAATACTGAGAGGAAACATTTAGTAAAAGCTCCACTTATGAAGATGGAGGAACCTGACAGCAAAAATGAGAATGGACCGCAATAGAATGGAAAAGTGGGGCAAGATACAAAAGACATTACTTGTTAGGATAGACTTGACCACAACAAAATCAGTACCCCAGAGACGACATGAGTTGATTAGACACTGAGTGTATTTATATGATTAACTGCAACCGAAAGCACTAAATATAGTGAGGATGAACTATTCAGAGTAGATGATTACTACTCATAGTAGGCCATTCTCTCTGAAACTTGGCACTGGAAATTATTAGGTCTTTGCAAAAAAACAAAGTTTAACAAATATATCAATGAAATTGTAAAAATTGAACAAGATTGGGGTTAAGAAGACATTTTCCTTACAAAGTTGCAATGTCAGCAGTGTTTTATTATATTTTTAATTGCCAATGCAAAGGTGATATTGGTGTTCTGATAAAATTCCGTAAAAGTTTAAAAAACAATCCACTGGACTTGGTTTCCAAGGTTTGAAGACGTTTCGCTTCCCCTCTAGAAAGCTTTCTCAATTCAAATGTCTGGATCAGCAGTGAGTTTGAGTCTTTATATGGACAAGGCCTTGTATTGATTGGAAACATGCAAATTGAAACCAACGAGTGGGTCGTTTAGTTCCATTTTTAGCCTGTAATATCTGAAACCTGTCTATGAGTCTGAAGGTTGGTCGTTATGGGGGGATTGTCGTTAAAGGGGGGATTGTCTCCTGTAATACCTGAAACCTGTCTATGATTGTTAAGGGTCAGTCATTAAAGGAGGTATTGTTCACCGGCTGAAGAGAGAAGGTACTTCGTTCCTCTGTGATGGGGTGGGGGGTGTGGTGATACCTGGAAGGGATCATCTCTATAACTGAATTGTACGCTTTTGGAAGCTGGAATCTGACTCCCCCACCTCTGTTGATGGCTTCCTTCACGCCCCTCTCAAACCACCTATTTTCTTTATCCAGAATGTGAACATTCTGGTCCTCAAAAGAATGTCCTTTGTCCACAAGGTGTAGGTGTACTGCAGAGTCTTGTCCAGAGGAGGCCGCTGTTCTGTGTTTGGCCATGCGTCTGTGGAGAGGTTGTTTGGTTTCTCCAATATAAAGATCAAAGCATTCCTCGCTGCATTGAACAGCATACAGTGGGTACTGGTTGGAAATGGACGGTTTCCTGCGTGATTCCTGCGTGAATCACGATGTATTTCCCAAGGCCAGATTTTTTATTTCCAAAAGAACTGCAATGTACCCGGACAACCACCAGGTGGCGCTTGGGAGCTCTGCCGTGCTAAAGGTGATGTTTGTGGGCCTGCAGTCAACTGAAAAGCAGGTTTATTGGGGATCTTGGTATGATATTGTGCTATTTTATTTTGTTTTTGATTAAAATAAAGTTAATGAATTAATTTAACATAGTGACTGCATTATTTTATTTCATGAAAATGGTTGCGTAGTTATAGATACACTTCCGATCTTATCTGAGAACTGTTTATTTCTATTTATCTGCATCTCTATTATTTAATGAAAAATAAAATTAATTAAGTTGGAGCCGGGGATACGGACTGAGGCGCAACCAGAGAAAGGCGACAGAGACAGTACTGCGGCTGGTGATTTTGAAATTAAAATCATATCCAAAGTTGATTCCTCATTAAGATAAGCCAAAGTTGTTCAAAAAGGTATGTAAGAAAATATATTTTCTTTAGTTTTGTGAAATATAAGTGCTGTTGACAGCTTTGAGTTAGCTAATCTTTAAATGTGTTCATTAAAATCCATCGAGAGTTTGTGTGCTTGGTCTGTAATAAAAAAAAAAAATAGCCATAGTAAAAAACATTTCACGTTCAGACTCACAAAATTAACAGATTTTATCACTTAAATGTTTAGCCTTGATGGGGTTTTGGCTAGGTGACTGTAAAGCCTATTTTACAGCTATTATGACAAACCCGTTTTTAAATCAGTTAGTGACTACACACACAGGATGGAGGAGGAGACAGGAGCAGAGCGAGAAGAGCAGCCACCTGTCGCTACCACACCGTGGCCTTATCTTCAGAGATTTTGAAACTTGTCGAATCCTCTGATAAAAAAGTATGTTTTCAGAAGGATGTTCAGATTTTTTAAGTATATGGAGGAACAGCTCTCCCATGTATAAAAATAGGAGCTGAGCAGCTCCTTTAGTCAGAGAAGGAGCGCTACCGCAGGTCATTCATTCCTGCTGCCACCAGACTCCATAATAATGCACTATAACAACAATAACTCCTGTAAAAACCACTGTGCAGCTACATTATAGTTTTGTATTTATTGACTGTGAACAATATGTTGAATGTGCGATATTTCTCCCCCTGTATATAAGCCATCCGGATTGTATGATGTTTTGTTTTTCATTGTGTGCGATACATGTACACATGCACCTTAATCCTATTTATCTTGATATACTGTATATACCTGGATATACGGTATTTATATTGCTTATTCTTAATGCACCTTTTTCCTCCTTGTTTGCACCTTCAGTAACTTCTATGCCAATATGTGACGAGTGAATTTCTCCGCTGTGAGATCAATAAAGCTCATCTAATCATCTTATCCAATCTAATCTAAATAAACACATATATAGATACATGTTCAATAAATAAATAAGCATTCAATTAATTACCCCCCAATAAATGGTGAAATGATATGTTCTCATAATAAA